ATGCTGAGTTTAAGCCAGCAGCTTCTGTTTTAATATCATCCTTACTGGGTCAGTAAGGATGAACCAGTGTTTCTCATACAGAAGAGCCTAACATCCGGTCTTCTGATGGAAGGATTCCAGTGACACGCAGACATGAATATGGGTGGGTACTCACCATTATCCTTAATCTAGGTCTAGGTGGTCATCTGATAATTATGAAGACTTCAGGTTGTATGGGTGGGCAGGAGTTGATATCATTAGGAAAATCTACTTTTATTTCCTACTGCTACAGATCCTGAGATATATAATGGTTCAGTTTCAAAAAAAATCTAATAAAATAAACTGGAGCAGGAATTTTAAACTTATAACATCTTTCTTGAAGAGAATAGATTTTAAAACTTTGTCAAATGTATGATTGTCTAATTCACTGGACATGTTAAGCTTCCCCACTCCCCTGCTCTCATTCCTCCAAACCCTACCAAAAACATTTAATCGTCCATCTCCCAGATTAAAGGTAGGAATCATACTTGGGGTTTAAGGTAGAACTTTACAATGACATGGTTTTCAAAAAGTTTATTTTTATTAAAATTATACGTATATTAGTTATTGCAAACAAGTGACCCCGTAGGCCAAGTGTGGCTTGCACGTGTGATTATTTGATCAGCACTGCCTTTGACAAAAATTGAGTTTGAGCACTTTGAGGCTGGGTCTCAATTCTCCAGTCCTCCTTGGTTTACACTTTGCTTGTCTCATCTCCATGGTTCTTTCACACATTTGCATTACCTGCTTGACATTCAGTCTTTCATTCTATCTTTCAACTTCCCTCTCTTAAGATGATAAAAACCTTAAGCAAGTCATAGAAGGAACATATCTCAACACAACCAAGGCAATATATGACAAACCCATAACCAGTATCATATTGAATAAAGAAAAGCTGGAGTCATTTCCACTAAGATCTGGAACCAGATAAGGATACCTACTTTTGCCATTACTATTCAGTATAGATCTGAAAGTTTTAGCCAGAGCCATTAGACAAAAAAGAGAAATCAAAGGGATAGAAATGGGAAAGGAGGGGGGCCGGCATTGTGGCTACCAGGTGAAGCTACTACCTGCATCGCCAACGTCCCATATGGGAGCAGTTTGAGTGCTGGCTGCTCCCCTTCCAATCCAGCTCCCTGCTGATGCGTCTGAGAGGGCAGTGGAGGATGCCCCCAAGGAGGGCCCCTGCCACCCATGTGGGACACCCAGAAGAAGCTCCTGGCTTCTGGCTTCACCTAGCCCAGCCCAAGTCATTGGAGCTATTTGGGGAAGTGAACCAGCAAATGGAGGATCATTTACCTCTCTCTCTCTCTCTCTCTCTCTGTCTCTTCCTCTGTGTGTGTGTGTGTAGCTCTGCCTTTCAAATAAATCTTTTTTAAAAATGGGAAAGGAATAAGTCAAATTATCCCTATTTGTATGACCCTATACATAGGATAACCCAAAAACTCCACTAAAAGGTTATTGGAAGTCATGAGAGAGTTTGGCAAAGTTGCAGGATATAAAATCAACACACAAAAATCAATACCCTTTGCATGCGCAAAAACTGCCATGGCTGAGAATGAACTTGTAAGATCAGTATCATTCACAATAGCTATAGTAAATATTAAATACCTTGGGATAAATATAACCAAGGATGTGAAAGATCTCTACAATGAAAACTGTAAAACATTAGTGAAAGGAATAGAAGAAGATGCAAAAAATAGAGAAATCTCCCTTGTTCACATTGATTGGAAGAATTAATATAAACAAAAGGTCCATCCTTCCCAAAGCAATTTACAGATTCAATGTAATCCCAATCAAAATACCAAAGACATTTTTATTAGATCTGGAAAAAATGACCTTAAAAATTGATGTGGAATTATAAGAGAATCCAATAGCTGAAGCAATTCTAAACAATAGCAATGAAGCTGGAGGTATCACAGTACCTGACTTCAAACTCTATTCAGCTTGTCAGACTTCCAGCTTACACTTCTAAATCACCTACTTTCTGGAGGGGAAAAGTGGTGTTAAATAACGAATTAACCTCTCAGGGTTTCCTGCACTGTGACATCTTGGCCCTTCAAGTCTTAGCTGTCTTGGTAGCTATGTGATGTCTTCTGTGAAACGTTTACATTTTGTCCAGACTTTCTAATTATTGTAAATAGGTGTACTGATCTTAAATGTTTTCCAAGTTTTTGAAAACAATTCATATCAGTTATTCTTGAGCTATCACTATGTATGTTACAATTTTTTAAAACTCAGTCCTATTTATTTTTAGCTACCACATTTGAAAATATAAATATGGATGTGTATGTTCATCTGTTCATCCTGGTAACTGGTTTTTGGAAGATGTGGTATCTCTAAGGTCATGATTTGGTAGGAGTCAAAACAAACAAAAAACAGAAAAAAATTGAAACTCATTGCCATAAGGTAATAAACATTTAGAGGAGAGAAAGAGAAGAAGCCAAGAAAACATAAGACACAAGGTTGGAGCAAGATAAAACTGAGAAATTTCTTGTGGCAGCTGGAAGTTTTGAGAATATGAAATAACCAATTTCAAGATATTTGCCTTTCAATGATTTAATATCCTTATATTGCCTGAAATATCCAGCAAAGTATTTTAAACATATAAAGTCATGTTTCTGTGGATGATTTTAAGGAAAACAAATAAAAGAGAGGCGGAGTGTCTTATTAGGAACAGTATGAGATTAAAAACAAACAAAGATGAGCTAAGGGAGATGAGATGTTGGTGAAGTTGGATAAGAGTCCAGTGGAAGTAGGAGGCACAAAACAAGAGTGAAAGGTTATAATATAAGGTCCAGACAATTGGGAGAAGTCTCAGGTGAAAAACTGAAATAGGATGAGACTCAGACCAAATTTATATAAATCTCAATGTATAGGGCATGTCAGTTGATGCTTGAGTAACTTTCATAAATATATGCAAGCCCCAGATATTTATTTTCACCTCCTTGACCAAAGAATCTGATCATAGGGAAATGTGTTTGGAGTGCATTTTAATATCTTATGGAAGAAGTCTAATCTTAGTTCCTTGAGCTTTAATCTTAGATCTCTGGAAATGATTTCCTTTACCTGCTATGCCACAGTGCTGGCCCCAATTGAGCTTTTTTTTAAAATATTTATTTTTATTTATTTGAAAGTTAGAGTTACAGAGAGAGGTAGAGACACAGAGAGAGAGGTCTTCCATCGGCCGGTTCACTATCGAAATGGCAGCAATGACTGGGGCTGGGTGTGGGTGCAGGGGCCCAAGTGCCTGAGTCATCATCCACTGCTTTCCCAAACACATTTGCAAGGAGCTGGATCAGAAGTAGAGGAGCCAGGACTCAAACTGGCACCCATTTTGGATGCCAGCACTGTGGGATGGGGCTTTAACTTGCTGCACCACTGTGCCAGCCCCTCCACAGAGCTTTTGCAGGATGAATCAATTAATAGAAGTAGACTATTTAGAACATGCACAAGCAATTAAGCCATATTCATACAACAGACTATGAGTTAGAATAGAAATACAACTTTTCCCTTTGATAATAGGCGGCAAAATTCCAATTATAGTGTTCATTTATTACTTGTAGTAAAATGTGAGATTCCCAGGTGTTACCCTTGCTACCTCTAACCTCTTACCCTCTCAAAGAATATATAACCACAATGAATGTAGATTGCAATCTTGTAACTGGAGAAATGCAATGAAAGCGAACTATGACACCTTTACCCTGGGATTTTGCCTGTTAGCATTTGCTGGATGATCTTAATTGCTTTCTACTCCTAGTATCACAGGAGTGAAAAGTCAGACTTCAGGTTAAAAAGGTTGAAGGATTCCCCCATCACAAGTCCCACATTTACAACTCACATTACTTTACCTTCTCTTTGCTTTTTCAGTTTGTCACGGTGACTTTGTTTTGCACCCTTGGCCACCATAACCCAGTCAGGCCCAGGCAATTGCTATGCTCCATTAGGGAGAGAAAGGGGGGTTTCAGGGTATCAACAATGCATGGCTCAGCTTTGCTTGTGAGTCACATTGTTACCATTTTCATATCTGGATGCAACTGCAACTGAGCTGACAGAGAGGTTGTAACATTCCAGACAGTTCCCTCTGACAGTCATCTGCCATCCCTCCTTGTTAACACAACACTTTTAAAAAATTTTTTTTTCATTTTACCTACAGTTTGATCCAAATTAAGGTATTATGACAGCCAACTGTCATGGAAGTCAAAACTCCAGGACTGACTGAGGCTGACCAATGTGAACTCCATTGGCCTGCTCTCTTCTCTGGTCTGTGCCCCAGTGTTCTCTCTGCGGTTGGGTTCACCTTTTTCTTTATGAGCAGGAGCTCTACTGTTGGCCTCCACTCCTCCCCAGAGGTATTTTCCTTTCCCAGATCACTTTCTTCTTTGAGAATATTTCACCGTTCACCCTCTAGGGGAGCTGTGCGAACACTGCCTCCGCATTGGCTGTCTGCAAAACTAAACATCCCGATAGGGATTTTATCTTGTTTCTTACACGGCCTCCAGCAGTGGTGTTACACATCATTTGTATTTCAAAAGTAACACAAGCTTTCACCTGCCAAGCACCGAGGCTTCCTGTTTATTACTGAATAGAAACGGTTCTGGCCCACTTTCTGGGATATACTCCTTAAACTCACAATGTGGGATGATCCGGTGATGTCACCTTAGTCAACGATAGAGTAGGCTTTACAGGACTATGGGGGAATGAAAACCTATAGAACCCATTGTTGGTGCTGATATTGGTATTTCCAAGCCTATACCATAAAGGTTTTTTTTATGACAGAATCTTCTGGACATTCAAATGAGCTAGATTTTTTGGTGATGATATTCAAATATGGATTTTATATCCCCATAGAAAGTACTTCCAGGTTTGCTGATGCCTTTGGACTGCTGGAATTATGTCTCCATTGAGAAAATAATTGGAAGTAGGGAGCCATAGTGATCTTGCACACAGCTTCCTCCTCACCCACTTGCAAGGTTACTCACCTGTGATGGCCAGCTGGGTCACAAAGAAGGTCATTCTCGACTTCCTCTTTCTCCTCCACAGGGAGAACAGCACGACAGAGTTCCCAACAATGGTGAAGACAAAGAGGACCCACAGAGTGACCAGCTGCTCAGTCTGTAAGAAACAGCAACACAAAAGCCATGCAGCGGTGATAACAAGTTCCTTCCAGAAGGTGTGACCTGGGCTAGGGTGCTGGGAGATCTACCTCCTGGTCCCTTACTGTCACCTGTTGAAGTAGTTCTTCTCTCAAGACAATAATGACAAATAGACCTCATTTACACCAGCAGCAGAAAAAAGTGTTGCACCCTTAAGTCTTTTTGAAAATATACATTGAAAGAGCAAAAACAAAGCAAAACCATGTGTATGTATAATCTCTAATTAAGTAATTTTAACTTTATATGAGAGGTCAAGATGAAAAAAAAACCACTATAATCCAAAGATGGGCATAGTTAGTGTAACAACAAATTGAAATTTGTTTAAAGATAACAGGACGGTTCAATAAATCAAGTACTTCAATTCAGTGAACTATTGTGTAGCTATTAACAATGATGGCTATGAATACTATTAGCAACATGAAAAATATTTATAACTGTGAGTGGGAAAATATGATAAAATTGTATTTTGGGTATGATTACAACTCTGTTGTATCTATCTATCTATCTATAAAACAACTCTGCGAAAGACTGAAGAGTGTTAAGAGTGCTTATTTTATGGTCGTATGATTACGGGCTAGCCTTTCTTTTTTTATTCCTTTGATTGAATTCACAAGATAGCAATACTAAAGTTCCTTTGAGTAATGCATAATTAATATTTTTAAAAAGCAGGAATGGGACTCATTTAAAATGCCAAGTCCTTCATAGAAAGTTTTCCTTGATTGTTTCAAATAGAGTTTTCCATCTGTTTAACATCCATAGCTCAGAACAAGCAGAGGCCCAGGGCAGTGGGATCACTGGACACAGGTGTGGGACAGGACTGCTTTGTGGGGAAAAAGCATGAGGCCAAAGGGCACCAAGGGAAAGCCTGGCAATCCAAAGAAGAATGGCCCGATGGAGACACCGCCCAGAAGGTCTGGGCAGAATCCAGGTGAGAACACACGTCTGAGACTGAAGCCCGCAGTGCTGCTTCTGTTTGCAGAAGAGGAGAGCAGCCTGCAGGACTTCCCACGGTGGCCGCCTTCTAGACATCACCTTGGCTAGGCCGTGGAGCCCAGCTGTTTGCTCAAACACTAGTCTAACACATTGCTGTGGTGGTATTTTATAGAAGTGATTGACACCTACACTCAATTGACGTTAAGTAGAGCAGTTGACCCTCCATAAGGTGGACTGGCTTTCTCCCACGACATAAAGATCTTAAAAGCAAAAGCTGACATTACCTCGAAAAGAAGGAATTCTTCCCCAAGACTGTAACATAAAAACCACACCTGAGTTTCCACCCTGCCCTGTGCACCCCAGAGTTGTCAGCCTGCACACTTGCATAGCAAATTCCTGTTGTCTCTCTCTCTCTCTCTCTGAAGGTACTTCAAAATATTTGGAAAACAACAAAAGATAGTTTGATTTTGGTGCAAAACATTTTGGAAATTTAGACAGAGATGTTTTATTTCAAAAAATTTATGGAAGATTCACATTCTGAAAAAAATGTGTGATTTCAAAAATTTTTGCACCAAAATAAACATAAGATAATTTCATTATTTCTACAAAATTCTGAAGCAGTCTCGTGTTTATGCGTATAATATAATATACATATAGAAATCTTTCTCTTTACACACACACACACACACACACACACCACTAGTATATAGTAGTATGGTTCTGTTTTTCTGGAGAATGCTGGAGAATCCTGGTCGACACACTCTCAATGCTAAGCTTAGCCATCATGGCAGCACTTTATCCTCATTGTTTGAATAACCTATTTTTAAATTCCTCCATGACAGAAGACTAAATTCTTTAGGGAACTGGAACAATTCAGATGAAACCAAATCCTCTTTGGGCGCTGCTGTCCACTTGGACCGATTCCCTTCCTCAGACAGCAAACATCTTTTGGGTTGCAGTGCACATTCTCCTAATCCTTTGTAAAATATTTTATAGTGGCTGGCATTGTGGCAATGGCTCAAGTCCCTGCTACTCCACTCCCAATCCAGTTCCCTGCTAATGTGCCTGGGAAAGCAGTGGACGACGGCCCAAGGGCTTGGGCCCTTGCACCCATGTGGAAGACCTGGAAGAAGCTCCTGGCTCCTGGCTTCAGTCTGGCCCAGCCTTGGCCATTACAGCCGTTTGGGGGAGTGAACCAGCAGATGGAAGATTTCTCTCTCTCTGCTTCTCAATGTCTCTGTAACTTTGCCTTTCAAATAACTAAAACAAACCTTTAAAAAATATTGTGTTTCTTTATTTTTCTTTTGGACAGGCAGAATTAGACAGTGAGAGAGAGAGAGAGAGAGAGACAGAGAGAAAGGTCTTCCTTTCCATTGGTTCACCCCCCAAATGGCCGCTATGGCCAGTGCTGCACCGATCCGAAGCCAGGAGCCAGGTGTTTCCTCCTGGTCTCCCATGCAGGTGCAAGGCCCAAGGACCTGTTCCGTCCTCCTCTGCCTTCCCGGGCCACAGCAGAGAGCTGGACTGGAAGAGGAGCAACCGGGACAGAACTGCCCCAACCAGGACTAGAACCCCGGGGTGCCGGCACCACAGGCAGAGGATTAGCCTAGTGAGCTGCAGTGCCAGCCTAAAAAATATTTTATAAACACACTGAGCAAATACACAGTAGTGTTTTGTGTAGAGGTTAGTTTTTTTATTTACTGTGTTTACTATACTCAACGCTGTGCAAGTTGTTTTTTTGCCACTTGGAGGAATATTTAAGTCAAAGTGATGTTTCATGTGATGTTAATGAATGGAATATAGAAAAGGACTGAAAATAGTAAAACAAAATATGCTGAGGAGGCGGGGAGTATATGGATTGGAGCAAAGGAGAGAACTGATAAGCACTTCCAGTCCACCCAGATTCTCGGAGCTTCGAAATCCCTCTGAGCCAAATAGGCACAGGATATGCTGGGACCGCCAGGAGGAAGCCCCATCCTGTCCCACCAGTTTCAGAGACAAGAGAAGTTCCCTGCCGCTAATCCTCCAGCCCCTGTCCTTGCCGGAAATCCAGACTGAAGCCAACATCCCCCTGAGTCATCCAGGTGATGCGTCAGTGCTCTACCCTGGGTTTACAGGTGTGTTTCTGGGGCCCAGGGTGGAAGCTTGGCCTTAGAAGTTAGAGAGGATGGACATGAAGGAGTGCTGAGGGTGGTGGGTGCAGAACGAGAGTGGGACGACCACAGGGCGGGGTGAAGTTGCGAGGTGTTCACTGACACAGGGCGAGGGTGACCTGAGGACCCGTCAACAGCAATTGACCAGGACTGTAATGAGTTGGGAGACGTGAAGCAGGAAATCTACATGAGCTTAAAATGAAAGCAAAGGCAATTTGATGTGGGTGCAGAACAGGTTTGCACACCATCAGACACCGATTCGGTTAACAACAGAATGAGTGTTCCACTGCGGGGAAGGGGTGGGAGCTTTTTTTTAACACGAGAAAGGAAGGGATTTCGTACACTCAGCATTCTTAGGAGATAAGCACAATCGATCAAGTCTGGTGCCTGGGAACTGACACAAACAGGGCAGTTATAAATTTTGCAAGTCCACTGAAACAGCCAGGCCAGGGACAGACTGGTCACTTGTGGAATGTCTCAGGCCCGCGGGGTATTGACAAAATCCAGAAAACTGCTCCATCTGGTGGTTTCAGTTTTTGACAGTGACTGTGTAGCAACTTGTCCCTTGTTCCTTAGGGTCTCTGTAGCTCCCAAAAGAATTACCTGTCAGTCAACAATGGCCACCTTCCCAAGATGCCCCTGTGTCTCATCTTCATCCAGAACTAAGAAGGGGAGATGTTATGATCACAGTAAACTCCACATAGAGGTGCCGTAAAATTCCCAGATGGCAACACATGCTAAGATACCACTCCTTACCTTATAAAAGAGGCTGAGAATGGGGACAGCCCTTTTTTTGTTCTAGACTCTGGTTGGGGTTCTATTTAGGCTTTTCCTCTCTTTTTTATAGGTAACTCTCTGACCCACTTGTGATGAGTATTTCTTTAAGTGGGATAGCCCATGCTCATGCATGAATTTGTGTTTTGTCTCTCATTGTTAAATAAATCCTGTTCCTATTGGTGCAAAAAAAAAAAATTTTTTTCTCTCTCTCCTTGATCAAAAGTCATTTCAATTTTTACTTTACCAGGGACAAGACTCCGTGCTCAGCCCTGTTCCCAGCATCACAGTGAAGTGTGACTATGCATCAATCCCCTACGGCCTCTGCACGCTAGGGCTGTGTCCGGGGAATGGGGAGATGGAAAGAATGTTGGAATTTTCCATCCCCACAAAAGGGAAACCAAACCCTGATGTTCAGATTCTGGGGACTTGAGCTTGAGGAGGTTACAAGGCTGAACTTGAAGCTGTAAATCCTAGAGCTTAAAGAGGCCCATTGGACAACACTGAGAAGTGGCAGAGGAAGAGTTTAAGCCTAGCAGGTGGTATATCTGAAGGGACAATTCAGGGAAGCAGCAGGCCAGGACTTGGGTTATTGTGTGCATGTGTGTGTGTATGTGTGTGCGCGCGCACACACACGCATGGTAGGGGGAGCTCAGAGCTTCATGTGGCATTTAGATTTGAGGGACCTAGTAAGAGTCTTTCTCATAATAAAAATCATCAGAATATGTGTTTGGAAACAAAACAAGATACACAAAAACAGAAAGAAGAAACGAAAAATCATTCATTACAATTTGAGGATATAGGATTCCAAAGTCAGTATCTCAACATCTATATCTGCTGCCTCTTGCTCTCTTGACCACAAATTGTGGTCTTTTTCAAGGTTCAGTTTTGGAATTTGCTTTTTTTTTCTTACAGCACAGCAAATGGAACTCAGAACTTCCTAGTACTGGGCATAAATCACTTTATTTAATCTTCCCGTCAGCTAAAGAAGTAGGCTTTTTGTTTTTTAAATAGTAATTTATGGGGCCAGCACTGTGGTGTAGTGGGTCAAGCCACCACCTGCAACACCAGCTTCCCATATCGGCTGCTCCTCTTTTAA